GGAGCCCTGACCTGGCACCAGGCACTACTGGCTCACACTGGATGAGTAATTCCTCTCCAGAAAGTGCCATTGGGTACTATTTTGGCATCGAAGAAGCTTCCTTGTGTGTCTGAGGTGGATCTTTTATTCTAAGCCAGGACCTGTTAGCTTATGTTTAGTTTATGTTATCTCTGCCCAAGAAATGTTTGTTTACAGATCTAGACAAAGCATTAAAAACCAAAAAGTTCATCAGGTCAGAAATGGTTACTGACCGAAGTCTACTGGTCATCTTCACAAACTGAGCCATCAGGCTCTGCAGATCATTGGTCATGACAATTGCTGGTGGTCTAAAAACGTTCAGATCCAGAGCCACAGATGGGGAGAGATTTAGCTACTCTCACAGCTGAACTTTCCTAAATATTCCCCATTGTAAATGGATCATTAAGATTCTTGTTATCTTCTAGATTCTGGGCTGGTGAGGAAGTCCTAAGCTGTACATGACATATCTAGAATAGACATTTGGGGTAGGGCACTGTGGTTCGTGCCTGTAATCTCAGCGCTTTGTGGGCCAAGGGAGCAGATCACTTGAGGCTGAGAGCTCATTACCAGTCTGGGCAACATAGCAAGACCTTATCTCTACAAAAAAAAACAAAAGAAAATTAGCCAGATGTGGTGGCATGCATCTATAGTCCCAGCTGCCCAGGAAGTTAAGACAGGAGGATTGCTTGAGCCCAGGAGTTCAAGGCTGCAATTACCTGTGATTGAACCAGTGTACTCCAGCCGGGCAACAGAGCAATATCCTGTCTCTAAAAATAAAATAAAATAAAATATAAAATAAAAGGGACATCTGTATCACTTTGCAGCCTCTTGGCTGCCCCAATCATATGGCTTCAGTTAAGTTTGGCCTAGAGTTCCTGACCAGTAGGACTTGTGATTTCTGCCTGTAATCAGACTTTGTTGAGACTATCATGATACTGCGTATCCAGCCAGACTCCAGTGATTACAAAACTCTGATGGTTTATCCACTCCAATCCCCAGACTAAACCTCTCCCTTGGCCAGTGGAGCATCCCTCCAATACCCCCTCCACCGCATATCCAGGAGGACCTCTCTGGGTCCATCTCTGCCTGACCTGAAGGAGAAGCTGAGATGTACAAGCTGCTGCCCTTTCCACTACCACCTTCATCTTAGTGGGAACTGAAGCGGGAGACCCCGATCATGTCCTGGACAAATTACTTTTATTTTCTGTGGGATGCCAGGCATATGACTTAAGGAAGGAGTTGCAGAGAGTTATCTGAAAAGATTCAGGTAGTGAGAATCTGGGGTTGTTGAAGGATTAGGTGAGATTATACAGGCCACAGAACACTTTATATTGGTTACATCCTGATTTACAGATATCATATTGCACTTCACCAATTGATAGTGCTTACCATGGGCCGGGTTACTTGGCCCGTTCATGTATCATCTCCTTAAATATCAGGATAACTTCATGAATCAGGCACTAGCTCTGGCCCCTCAAAGGCTCTGGCTTTTTAATTGTAAAATGCAAACTTGGTACGTTGTCCAAGACTATTTAGTTGTTTACTGTCTGAGCTGAGTTAACACAGGGCTATCAGAGTATGAATCTCACGTGGTAAATGTGTAGGTGTCATGGAACCCAACAGCGATAACTTTGGATGAGTGTCTTTTTTTGGCATTCTTCAAATCATGCCCTGTGAACAACCATTACTCTGCCTCCAATGAGGTCATACCCTGCTCTCTATCCTAGAATATCGATATCTCTCATAATTGGGGATGCAATAAATTCTAGTTCTCTTCTTCTTGTAATAACATCGTTCCCCAAACTATGGCCCTGGAATCTTCAAAAGTCTTGAAAATATTTCCGGTAAATAAATGTTTCCCATTCACCATCCATCCCTCATGCTTCTGCAGGGCCCTCCTCAGACACAGGCTGGTGGAAGCAGATCTCCTAATACCGATTGCTGAGTTAGAGGCAGCTTCTCTCCATCCATCAATTCTAACTGCGTTCAAACATTTTCAATATGTGGGCTCCTTGATAACTTTCACTGTATGGAAAACAAAATGGAGGGAAATGATTATTGGCACAAAAGGGGAAGCCATAAATCTTCACATCAGATATAGGACGGATTGGAACAATATGGGTTCTCCAAGGTTGCCATGATAATGCACCTAATAACTCTCCTTGGGCAAAAAGGCAATCTGCTTTCAATCAGTCTCGCTTTTTTTTTCTGAGCAAAACTACCAATTACTTTGAAGGAAGATTTTTTTCTTCCTTTTTTGATAAAGACTGCTTTCCACCCAGAAATCATGCTGTAGTTAAAAGATATATATTTCCAATTGTCTAGAATGGTATTGGATAGCTAGCACCAAATGAAAAAAGTCAATCCTTTTTCTCTCTTTACTCTTGCCAGCATTTGTCTACTTCTTAAGAGAAGTGAAAGTTAATTAAAGGCTTAAGGGATAATATTGATTGCATTGGAATATATTTTATGTGTACCCGGCACACTTTCAAGGAAGAGAACCCTGACTTTTTCTAAGGCTGAATAAATCAGCCAGCTGAGCTTTTGATTCAAGGGTGAGAGGGGGGAACTCATCTTCTCCCCTTGTACTTCTCACACATCTTTCCTGGGGAAGAATGATTTCAGGAGAGGAGGAGGGGATGCTGGGTGATGTTCATTCAGTTCTTTGCATCCTGGGTAGGAAGGATGAATGTCCAGGCATTTCCCCAGACCTGTATTGATTTGAGTCTAGCTTTGAGTAATAACCAGGCTTATGCTGGTATAGAACTTTGAACTTTACGATGCCTGGTACAGGAGGCTGGCTGGGTGGTATTAACCTCTTGGCTTCCTTCTGCATTGAATGGGAATAAGTACCTCACCCCGGCTGACACATACCCTTGGTCGCAGAGCAGGGAATCACATCTGGCTTACTTTTACATCCAAGTGATGAGAATGGCCTAGGCCACGTATCTGTCCTGTGCAGACACCTGCGCATTGGATTCATGTTGGCCTTGCTCCTAATCTTGGAAGTCTATGTGCAGAAGGCATTAGAATGGCAAAGTAACCCTATTGTCGGTTGCAAGGAAGTTAGGTGTCTAGGGAAATTCTGTTTCTCATTCACTTCAAACACATTTGGTGAATTCAAAGTCTGAAATCTTATTCAGAACATGCAAGTTTATTTGAAGTATTTTGCCCTTGTAAATGCACATGTGCCACAAGAAACATTTTAAAATATAAAATGCATATCATCCAAGTGTTCAATTTATATTGTGTATTCTGACATACTGTGTGTTATGCTATATCAGCCTCATACTACTCACTATATACTAACGAGGCGGTTAGTCATGTGGGCTTTGCACATAAAATTTGGATGGGTGGCTAAGGGAGCTCCCTCAACCTAGCAGGAGAGCAAAGTGATCATGTTAAGACATCTCTTTTGAAGTAGCTCATTGATGCTCTTCCCTCCCCTTGGTGGCTGCTGCGTGACTGATTGCTAAGTGCACCACCGTAACAATAACAGTCTATAATGGTGATATTATTAACTGCATCGTGCATATTATTGATTTACTCTTTGTTCTGCATCATTATCCTTTCACCAATGAGTTTACTGCATTATTCTCACATACTTAGTCAAGCACCAAATTACAACGAAAGGGCAGGCTCTTATAATGGCACCTAATGGAACATTGCATAAGCCATCATCACTGCCTCCTATTATGAGCCACCTCCAGCCAATGAGCTTTCTGCCTTACTGGAATGTGCACAGAGCAATTATGAAGTGCGAGGGACCTGGCCATTCTAAATTTTACCCAGGAAATTACCATACTGCATGCTCACCACCTGCCCAAGTCTCAAAGTGCAGCTAGAGATTCAGCCTCTGTCACGTCAGCCTGGGGAGCACAGGGACAGGAGCTGAGCCTCTTGCTACATACAGTCTCTTCACTAGAAGCCAGTGGTTTTATCTCCACAGCCAGTCCCGGGCTTTTTGTCTTGAGGCTGAATCTTGCATCAAAGTGCTTACTCCTGATTGGGCATCACGTAGCAAATATGAGTGGCCACAGCATAGCCTGGTGTCAAAGTCAGATTGGTCCAGGAGCCCAGAGCTGTTGGAAGGACTGTCAGTCTCAACAGTTCTGGAAGAGGGGCTCATCTCTTCCATGAGAGAGAAACGATTTATTTCCAGAAACAGAAGTCCAAACCACTCTCAAACAAGGCAAGCAATTCCAGCCTCATCCCTTCCTGGTATCTCCCCATCTTGAGGTAAATTCCTTCGGCTCTCCTGGAAATCCCAGGCACCCTAAGGAAGCACCCCTCTGGGGACACACAGCCAGCCAGCATGATCTTCCGTTCCATAGATGTCCCATCCCCATTTAGCCCTGAGTAATGCTCACTTACTGTAAAATGTTACATGCCCCCATTGTCAGAGGAGTTATGGTGGAAAAATGCAAAATTTCCTTTTTACTGCTTATGGCCAGCAGAGCCTATAACATGTCAGGCCTCACATTAGCCACCCTGATAAAAGTCTGCTTTCTTACACACAAAATCATCGTTTCAGCAAGATTTGTTATCTCATTACCTGATAAGCTCTATGTCATAAACCAAGACTCATACAGTAAATCTCCCCAGAGGACGCTTTGTGGGCAGAAAGGGAGAGATATGAATCTGCAAGGGACTTGATAATGCAGCATTTAAGCGCAAGCATAATGTCACTTACTGTTAAATGCATAAAACCACTTGGCCAAACGGTTGGGCTTTTAATAGGATTTTGTGCAGCATCAGGTGAGAAGCCATATGCCTTTTCTGTCTAGGAGTCTCTGAGCACCTGCTAGCACTGCTGCTTTGCCTCACAGCCCTCTGGGGATGGGAGCTGGGCTTTTATGAAGGCGGAGGGAGGAGGTGAATGCTTCCCCTGCAGCTGCCTGGCTTCTGCTGTCTTGCCAGGGGGTGGGATATGGGGTCCTGTCGTGGGGCCTGGCCTGATCTAACTGGCCTCTCCCGTTCAGGCACATTGTGGTCTGCGGACACATCACTCTGGAGAGTGTTTCCAACTTCCTGAAGGACTTTCTGCACAAGGACCGGGATGACGTCAATGTGGAGATTGTTTTTCTTCACAAGTAAGAGGCTCCTGTTGCTGTCAGACCCTCTGCCCAACCACGCACCCTGTGGAGGACTCCTTGAATGTCTCTAAGAGTGGAGGTTATGGGGAATAGCACTGTGGATAGGACCAGAGTTGGATAAGCCATGATCCCTGTTGGCCTCATTGGAGAAGATATTAGAGGACCAATGGCAAGGGAAGCAACACACTGGTTCAATGATGAGAGCAGAGCCTGCCTCTGTGGAGGCGATTCTGGGACCACATCTGAGTTTATCTCTGGAAGAAATAACAGCGGAGCTCATTGTGGGTCCAAGTCATCATCATTGTCCCCTTAGCAACCTGGCATGTCCACAGCATCTGCTGTGGGATGATTAGCTATATGGTGTGGATACATTAGGAGTGCAGGAGTGAGTTGGTGACCAAGCAAGACACCAACTTAAGAGGAAACAGGATATAAGGTAATAGTAATAACAACTGCCACTCCTAGGAACCCCCAGCGTGGTACCCTAACCAGTCACTGCACATACAGGCTCTCATTTATGCTACAGACAGAGCAAAAGTACATACCCTGGACTCAGATTCCCTGATCTGAATCATGACTCAAGGAATTACTGGCTGAGCAAGTTACTTCACCTCCATGTGCCTCAGTTTCCTCATCCATAAATCATGGAGATGATAGCAGTTTCTACCTAGTTGGGCTGTGGTGAGAATGAAATGAAGTATTCCATATAAAGTGTGCAGAGTGGAGTCAGGCATCCAGTAGGGCTTCAATAAGTGTTAGCTATTAGCATGAAAAATAAATATATTTCGCCGTATAATCCACTTAGGAGGTAGGTCTTATCTTGTGTGTTTTACAGGGGAGGAAAGCAAGGTGTCTCCCTTCTACCCAGTGTTGAGGTTTTCAGCTTTGCCTAAACCTTTTCTTAGGTAAAAGGTAGTCTGCCCCAGGCATGGAGAGAATTAGGGGGCTCCTCCATGGTGACATGTGGTCCATGGTCGTCTTGTTTTATGGAGATGGAGCTAGTCTTGACACCACATTGCAAAAGTTCAGGACAAAGCTCACATGTTTGTGTTGGCTCGACGTGCTGTTGACCACTCAGCAATCGGCCCTACTCTGAGGTTCCACTGAGGTCAGCTTCCCTATAAACTCCCTGTTTTGTGGATCGCCATCCTCTGGCATTTGCTCACAAAATGCTAGACTTCTGACTTGTCACCATGTTGGGGCACTAGCATTTTTGTTTTCTGCATTGATTTCTCCAAACTTCTTTGAAAAGGCAGACCAGGCTATGGTAGCACAGGAGCAAGTACCCACAGGTTCCATTCAGTGCTTAGCCACCAATTACCGCTGTGTGGCCCATCCTCTGCTGAGCATTTTGGAAAGTTCAGGAGAGGTATAATGTGTGGGCTGGGCCCCCTCATGGGTTGGGCATTTCAGGATAAACACACACATAATCATTAGAGACAACATCAACCCTGTGTTATCCAAGGAGTGCTTAAGTCATTTTGATCAGGTGGCAGAAGTGACTGGGGACATCTCTTTCAAATAGCATTAGTCTGTGGCATTACCGGGCAAGCTTCTGAAAAAGATGTGACTTGTCATGGGTCTGAAAGACTGCTCAGATTCACATAGGCAGCCACTTTTCTTTCATCCACTCCTTTGGTTTGAATAAACAAGCTGGTCAGGCATGGTTGCTCATGCCTGTAACCCCAGCACTTTGGGAGGCCAAGGTGGGCGGATCACTTGAGTTCAGGAGTTCAAGACCAGCTTGGGCAACACAGTGAGACCCCATCTGTACAAAAGATATAAAAACTAGCCAGTCACGGTGGCACGTGCCTGTAGTCCTAGCTACTCTGGAGGCTATGGTGGGAGGATGGCTTGAGCCTGAGAGGCAGAAGTTGCAGTGGGTCAAGATTGCACCACTGCACTCCAGCCCCTATCTCAAAAAAAAAAAAAAAAAAAAAAGCTGGCTGCTAATGCTTCTATTGCTAAGATTCACCTTTGTGTCCCTAACATCTGTCAATGTCAGATTTATAGTAGGTGGCCCAGTTAATTAATTAACCTCTTGAAGCTCTTGGTTAATGACATACTTTACTATAGGGTTGTTTTGATTTAACTGAGTTAATACTCATCAAGGCCAGGCATGGTGGCTCACTCCTGTAATCCCAGCACTTTGGGAGGCCAAGGTGGGTGGATCACTTGAGGCCAGGAGTTTAAAACCAGGCTGGCCAACATGGCAAAACCCAGTCTCTGCTAAAAATACAAAAATTAGCCAGGAGTGGTGGCACACACCTATAATCCCAGCTACTCCAGAGGCTGAGGCATGAAAATTGCTTGAACCTGGGTGGTTGCAGTGGGCTGAGATCCTGCCCCTGCATTCTAGCCTGTGTGACAGAGACAGACTCTGTCTCAATAAAATAAAATAAATATTATTTATTTTACTTATTTATAATTCTATTTTACTATTATTTATTTAAATGTCTGCCATATAGTAAATGTTAGAAAATATTATTATTATTATGGACTTCACAAATGTTAGGGAAATGTTGACTTACCACAGTCCGTGGCATATAGTAAGCTCTAACTAAATATCATCTCCCAGTGCCTAGCACTGTACCTTATAGACAGTCTTTTTCATCTCTGCACAATTAACAAATGAATAAATAGGTCCATTGTTTAATCCTTGTCCTTCAAAGAGAAAGGTGTCAGTACAGCTCAGCACCAAGAAATGTGATGAGTCACATACATGTATGTGAATCACGAACAATACCTAGAGTAAATTAAGTCTGTCTGTGGCTGCTCAGAGTGATACTTTTTGATCCAGGCCTTGGGGAATGAGAAGTCCATACAGCACAGAGCAGAAAGGTTTGTGATGGAGGGAACAGCAGGATGGCTCCCCCAGGGAAACCTTTGGCTAATCCTTGATTGTATTAATCAGGGTTCTCCAATGAAACAGAGTCAATAGGAGATATATATCTATATATCTATATATATCTAATACAGATATAGATAGGTATCTATATATTGATATATCTATCTATATCTGTATCTGTCTATATCTGTATCTATCTATCTATCTCTAGAGAGATTTATTGGGAAGAATTGGCTCACTTAAATACAGAGACTGGGAAGTCTCATGGTCTGCCACCGGCAAGCTGGAGACCCAGGAAAGCTGGTGGTATAATTCAGTTTGAGTCTGAAGGCCGGAGAGTCATACAGCCAATGTCAACCCCAGTCCAAGGGTAGGAGAATGACAAGAGATGCCCAGCTCAAGTCGTCAGGCAAGAAGCAAAAGGGACAAATGCCTCTGTCCTCTGCTTTATTGTTCTCTTCAGACCCTCAAATGATTGGATGATGCCCACTCCCAAGAAAGGCAGTCTACTGAATTCACTGATTCAAATGCCAGTCTCATCCAGAGATACTCCCAGACACACACCGAAATCACGTTGGATGTGGGCATCCTGTGGCACAGTACACATAAAATGAATCAGCCCACTAGTGGCACAACTCAGCTTCCCTATTTATAACACAGGAATTCCATTTATACTGAAGACAAGACATTTTGCCCTGAGGTCTTGGCCTTCCTAAAGCCAAAGAACCTCTTTCTTTTACCTTGGTACTAGTTTGGTTTTCAGTTGGGCTAAGGTTTTACTTCCCTTGAGGGTGAATCTTTCCTTTATGGCAAGCAAAAGGGCGACTTTGAAGGTTGAAGCCTCGCCCCAGGGCTTCTTGTGGAAATTAGAGGAAGGAACCCATGGAGGCCAAAACCCCCGAGTTCATTATATTAATAGCGGTTTTTTCTCTCCCTGTGTAGCATCTCCCCCAACCTGGAGCTTGAAGCTCTGTTCAAACGACATTTTACTCAGGTGGAATTTTATCAGGGTTCGGTCCTCAATCCACATGACCTTGCAAGAGTCAAGGTAAGGACGAAGAGGTCTGCTTTTATTCCATCTTGGTGGGGTTCAGAGGGGAGGATTTCTGACTCTGTGGTGAGGGAACATACCTTCTGGGATGGCCACGAGTCATATCCTAAACCCCTAATGAGATTAATCAGATACCAGCAAGCTTGATGTCACCGTTCCACTGGTCACAGGACCTCTTTCTGCTGGCATATACAAGACTACCTTTAAGCATACCACACTTGGACTGGTCATACATGAAACTTACTTTGCTGGTTTCCTCAATATTAGCTACTCCTCAAGGAAACTTACTTTGCTGGTTTCCTCAATATTAGCTACTCCTCAAGACCAGTTGTATGGACCCAGTAGTCTTTATAAAACATAATAATCAAGTAATTCCCATATCGAACACTTAAGTTGGACTCAATATAGCTCTGACATCTATTATCTACATTTGAAAGAAACATTAAAGTATAAAATAAAATTTTACTAAGCTATAAAACATTCGAGCTTCCTTTTTTCCCCACCTGGGACTCAGGGTGTAAATCTAAATATATAGTTATCTGATATCATTGATAATGGGCGAATCTTTTTTTCCTAGAACCTGGCAAGTTAGAATCTTCTCATAAAGCACACCTGAGGCTTAGAAGGGACAGGTACAAGGCAAAATGGCATCTGTTACTTCACCTATGTAATATAGATTTTGTAAGCATGTTCAATATTTGCGTGCCAGTGAGTGTAAATTAATATTGTGAATCTACTGAAGTCTAAATGCTGTAATCACCACATCATTCTATAAATAATATAATTGGCCAAGATGAGTAATCCAAAAGGATTTTGATAAATTCTTTGCATCATTAAAGAAATCAGAGACAATTTGTGACATACCATGGAGGATATTATGCCCTCACTCAAAATCCAGGAATGATCTATTAAGCACAACATACCAAGTAGGGCAGATTGCAGACCTGAGCCAGCGTAAGGTTCCTTATGCTTACAGAGTCTGGTTAATCTTAATAGTATCCAGACATGACCCAAGTTATGGCTCATGTGAAATCTTATGAGAACGTAGGGAAACTTGTTATTGTTCGTGGACCTAATTTAAATGCAAGCAATTATTAGCACATCAAACTCATGGTCCCCTCTAAGGAATAAACCCCGGTGGATTCGTGTTTGGATAAGTCAGTAGGTGTATTTTGAGTTCATCTATAACACATCATTTCATACATAGATTTGTTGTCTTTTGAATATCTGAATACTAATTGAATCCTAAGCAATATGGTGATATTATCTGATTTAGAACCCTGATCTCCTGTCAGTCCGTAGAAAATGAAGGTATAAAAAAGGTGAGATGAAGGATTTCAGAGTGTACATTTCTGAATCCCCAGTACTCAGTTAACTTGCTAACTGGAGAGAAGGGGTTTAACCCACCCACCTCCAATTCCTGATGGGAATAATTAGGATGATGGTGCAGATGGTTTGGAAAGGAGGTGGGGAGGAGACTGAAAGGCTTAATTAATTGTTATTTAAAGAAATCTGCAAATCCTACACGTAAGCAGCGATGCCAAATGAAAAGTATAATTACCAAGGTACATGTTGTACCCTCCAACAGCAACAAGATGAAATGTTTATACCATAACAAGAACTTGCAGCCTACACTTTTGACAAAAACTATAATCTCTCAGGCTCTCATGATTGTTTTTTTTTTTTTCTCCCCTTGCAAAGCACCAGCTTCCCCAAGAGCTGTCAAAAGAGAGAGACTACAGTTGAGCGTGGCTATTTATATGTTTGTGTTCTGTGATTTTTCCTTTTGGTGTCTTAGATAGAGTCAGCAGATGCGTGCCTGATCCTTGCCAACAAGTACTGCGCTGACCCGGATGCGGAGGATGCCTCGAACATCATGAGGTAAGTCTTGGGGTGTTGGGGAAGGCCCTGGGCTTGGCGGTCTGTGGCCATTGACAGTCCTTTCGGGTCTTCTGCAGAGGACTCTCTCTGTGAGACCTTTCTGCCCCACGAGCCACCCCACAACTCGCCACCTGCATAGGCCCAGGGGATCCAAGGCTGTGTGTGTGGTTTGAGGCAGTGGCACACAGGGTGTTGCCAACAGGAAGCTCACCCTCAGCAGGTGGCAGCTCCAGGGCTTACAGCTGACCTTGGGTTTGAGATTCCTTGAGACAGAACTAGGAAATAGATTGAGATGGATGCTGGCCTGAATTAAGGTACCGTGTTCCCTAAGGTAAGTGGGCCTGAGATATCTTAATTAAAGGCAGATGCCCTCAGGTGACATTTTGCATTGTCTGGAGATGTTTTTGGTTGTCATAACATCTGGTGCTGCTGGCATCTGGTGGGTAGAGCTCAGGGACACTGCTAACCACCCTGCAATGCACAGCATAGCCCCTACAACAGAGAATTGTCTAGCCTAGAATGTTAATAGTGTCAAGGCTGACAAACCCCTTATTAGGGCTTTCCAAATGTGTCTCCAGCATATTGATTCCTATCACCCCAAAGAAGAGTTTAGTGACCAGTTAGCCTGTTTCATCCAGTTTCCCAAAATTAATGTTCTTTCTTAAAAGCCTTTTCAGTGCTTTTAGTACTAATATGAATCTCTGAGATAATGTACTATAGAACACTTTCCAAATCTATTTGACTACAATCCTCCGCTCCTCTCCCACCTCCTCCCTGGTTTTTCTTCTTCTTCTTCTTCTTTTTTTTTTTTTTTTGTAGAGACAGAGTCTCACATCATCACTGAGGCTGGAGTGCGGGGATGCAATCATAGCTTATTGTAACCTTGAACTCCTGAGCCCAGGTGATCCTCTCACCTCAGCCTCCTGAGTAGCTGGGACTATAGGAATGTGCCACCATACACGGCCAAGTTTAATTTTTTTTTTGTTAGTAGGGACAGAGTCTTACTATGGTCCCCAGGCTGGTCTCGATGAACTCCTAACCTCAAATGATCCTCCCACCTGAGCATCCCAAAACTCTGGGATTACAGGAGTGTATCACTGTGGCCCTGCACTGCCCTCCCCCTGCCCCTGCTTTTTTTTTTTTTTCCAGAACATCTTCTAGAGGAGGTTACGCTGGGAAACACAGCACAGTGCTTAGGCCTGTCAACTGCTCATCTTGGCCCCAACTTCAACGCCTTATTCTTTTCTTAATTCAGAAAAAAGCAACTGTTCAGTTTTTGTTCCTTGCCTAAAGCCAATTGTCATGGCGTGTGACAATGAAATGACTAAAATGTCAAGGCAGTTAGCTCCAGGTAGTTAGAGGCCCTTTGGAATTGCAGAAGAGTTAAGAGGGCTGAGAGAAAATGAGCAAGGGAAGCTTCTGGAGAGATGAACTAAATTCAGGGAGATTTCAGCCTCACTGTCCTCCCAGAAACTCCTGCCTAACTGTGAACAGCCTCTTTCAGGGCCAAAGGTTTCCCCTCTCCCTGCGGCTTGGTTTAATGCCTCCTGAGAACTTACCCTAGGATGAAGGTCAGGAAGTTACCCTTGTGTCATGACAATGTTGGCACCTCCTTTGTCTTTACTTTCCATCAGTGGCCCCAAGTGACGGGAGCTTCCCCATCAGTGAGGCGGGGGAATTCCTCCAGTGCATTTCCGAGGGGCCAGTCCTCCCCTAAGCCTCTGGTCCTTGTGTCTGGCAGGCAACATCTGGCACCGTCTTTTCTTGCCACTCACTTTTCTTTGGCAATACACTTAGTGAGGTCATTTTAAGGAAGTTGATGCATCAACCCTTCTAAGCATTGGGCTTGCCAGGCTGCAGAAAGAGGGTGGAACAGAATCTGGCTTCACGCCTGGGCCCATCTCCTAATCAGTTGCAGCTGCACGGTGGCTACACCAGCCTCAGGTTTGCGTGTGTCACTTGCTCCTTTCTTTGCAGTAAGAAGGGACTTCAACTTTTGACACGTTTTTCTGTCACTGGAAATGATTAAAAAAAAAAAAAGTAACCCTTTAAGGAACCTGGCTTCGCTATCTTCAGAATTCTAAATTATAGGGTCCAGCTCTACAGGGTCCTGTAAGCCCCTTTCTGTTGGTATGGAGATGAGAGACTGTAGCAATAAAAGACACAAGACACAGAGATAGAGAAAAGAGAGTTTGGGCCCAGGGGTCCACTGCCAACTGAAGCCTGGAGTCCGGCAGTGGCCCTGAGTGCTTGGACACTCTGACTTTTAAAGAGTACAAAACCAGGGCCAGGGTAGGTAGGGCGTGGTGCACAGTTGGGGGCAGGGTAGGTAGGGCATGGCATTGGTAGTCAGTGATAGGGTCAAGTACATCATATGTCAGGTAGAGGAGATGAGGTAAGGAGCGTAATGCATCAGCACTTTTTTCATACTTGTCGAGAAAGAACAAAGACATTAAGATTTATGTTACTTTTACTGATGATCTCTTCTAAGTAAAACGGACCCAGGTGCAGAAGTGGAACATGAGAGTAGACGTGGAACGTGACCCCTGAAGCCCCACACATCACATAGAGACAATTAAGCCTCCGGACGTCTGTGGGCCTACCTGACAGCCATCAGGCCTACTGCAAGAGCTTGGAGGAGCGGAGTTTCCTCCTAACTCCTCCGGGGAAGGGGATGTCTTGGCCATTTTGGACCTCTCCTTTCCTAGCTGGCTAAATGGCAGGGGCTTTCCGAACGCTGGCGCTGCCGCACAGCCGAGGTGCCCTCCAGCAGCCATTACACAGTGACAGGGCTTAAAGCATCTTGCCTTAGGTTGATTCCTTTCACAGTGTTGCCGGGGTTCCCACTTCTGACCTGAGAGGTATTAGTAAAAAAATTAAGATCACCTATGAATAACTAAGATCACCTGTGAATAACTAATAACTACTGCGGTTATATTTCTAGTTACTTTCTTCTTCATTATTTATATGGAAATAGGCTGAGGCTTCAGGCTGCTGCCTTGGCACTTGTGGGGTCTCCCCCTACACCAATGGAAAACCAAAAGAAGATGAAACTTAATGTTTTGACCCCACAGAGATGTTTGGGGCTACCTGAGTGATAGCTTTGAAATGGGTGTTTCTCTTAATTGCAGTATTTTATTTAAATCATAACTGTGGTAGGGTTAATATGAAGACACACAGGTACCAGGGTGATTGGCAGGATGAGGAGGCATAGAAATTACTGGTCAAAGGTAGTATCAGAAATGTAATTAAGTAGAGCCAGAATGAGGCCCTGGCAGCAAAAAGAAGTGGGAAGTTCAGGGTTAAAAATGGGCTTTGCCTTTCTCTTATTTGTGTAATCCTCGTTCCTCCTCAGTTTAATGAGACCAGTCTGCCTCCTTTGAAATTAAAATGTCAAAGATCCATTTGAAATGAGCTAATGCAGAAAACTGGCTGAAGCTGTGAACTGCAAGGCAGGGCGGACAGAGGCTCAAAGTCCTTGAGTTATAAGCATGGGCCAACACAACACTTCTTCAAAAATAAAATGAAATCCTTCAAGTGCAAAAACCCAGGGTGAATTTGTGCTGGGAGAGGCTTTCACGTGATCCATTTCCTACTTTCACAAGTTGCAGCTTTTCAGATAAAGCTGCTCCCTGGCTGCCTTCTCTCCATGTCTGCACTAAAAGCGGTGGGGGGCGGGGAGCGGGGAAGGGTGCGCTGCTGGGTGGGAAGTTTGTGGGGTGGTCATAATACATGCACTTGCATTTCTGATTAGGCTTAGGAGGTGGGCCTTTCTGTGGAATTCCATTCTTTAGCTCTCCTTGTCACAGAAGGAAATGTACAATGTCATTTCTCACAGACTTGGTAATGACAAAAACCATAACTTACAAGTGGAGAGAACTTTTAATGATTTCAAAGCATTTTCACATCTGGTCTCCCATTTGCCGCTCATACCAAGCCTGTGAAGTAAATAAAGCAGGTACTGTTGCTCCAAGTGTCCAGATGAGGAAACGGGAACAGAGAGCCCAGGGTTTTCCTAAAGGTCGAGCAGTTCATTAGTACAATGGCTGTGACTGGAACCCAGGTGTTTCCATTCATCTGCGCTCTGCCACTCCCTTTAGTACCATGATTGATGTGGGGAGGACACGTGAGGGCTGAGGTGGGTGCAGGCCATGCCTAACACTGAGTTTGGACTGAGGGCAGGTAGGAGACAATTTTCCACCAGATCGTGACCCCTGCAACGCCTTGGCACTTACGTTTAACCGGAGTTTAAGTCATCATTTTCTCTATTTGCTGTGGAAGGCTGAGTCCTTGATCTCATCCTAAGAGCCCTGCTTAGAAATCATATTTTGTGATAGTGGACAAGCGTGTGTCACAATTAGAACCGTTTGTCATCCTGCTTGTTTGATTGGTCATTGTTGTCTCAAGTTGTTGACTTGGAGAATTGGACTCAGATTGTTTCTGAGCTGGTCCATAGGGTGTGGGAGATTGCAAACCTCTGGAGGCCCCATGATTTGGGCTTGCTTTCAATGTCTGCATAGGCAATAAGCTGGAAGCCCCTGCTCCAGGCTTCCCATTCCCCAGTCAGTACACACTTGCATACATCCTATCCCCAGTGCATCCCAGGGGGACCTCAAATTTTTCATGCCCAGGACACAGACTGTGGCTGCTTTGTGATTTTATTTTCAAACTACCAAGAGGTATGGTGGGAATACTGCTTATCTTAGTGTCTGCAACTCCTCAGGATAGCCCTGGCTGCTGGTCCTGATGCAGGACAGGTGAGCCCCATATTGGGGCTTAGCCCATGAGGGTTTTTAGCTTCCCCCAGGAAAAAATTCAAGGGCAAGCTGGCGGTAGGGCAGACAAAACAGCTTTATTGAAGCAGCAGTATTACAGCTCCGTGACTGCCCCCGCAGAGCAGGGCTACACAGTAGGCAGAGAGTAGCAGCTCTGGGCAGTTCTGCTGTCATATTTATACCTGCTTTTAATTGCATGCAGATTAAGGGGCAGTTTATGCAGAAATTTCTAGGGAAGGCATAGTCACTTCTCAGTCATTGGGTCATTGCCATAGGAAGGCAAGTCCCATGAGCCCAGTAGAGATAGAGGCAAGTTCTTGAGCTCTCTTTCTCACTGTCTACCCTGACATCTGGGTATCAATCATATTAAAGTGCGTCCTCTTTCATGGCCTTCTTTTTTCCTCATGGTGCCTCCCCAAAATTGTATGTAGTGAGAGATGGAACTGGGACTGGAATTCATCCATGCATTACAATTGCTTTCAGGAAGGGACCTAGTGTGTGCCTGTAAAGTTAGGTCACTATGAACATATTCCAAGAGATAGTTGATTTTATAATTGGACAACAGGCTTGAGATATGAAGCATTTCAATCCACTAAGATCTAGTAATATTAATGTTCTGGGGCCTAGAGGATGCAGGGAAGCTCCCAGCTGTGGCCATGGCAATGGGAAACTGATACACCACACTGCTGGGCGTGTCCAATGGAAGGTTGCTTCTGCTCCATCCCCATTTCAGATAGTCCTTAACTGTGTGTAGTATCTGAGCTCTGGCTCTGGAATCAAGTCCTGCCTGCTACCTCAGTCCCATGGGTACCCATTTGAAGACAATAAAATTGATCTTTTGGTCAGACATTATGCATAAGGCAGACCAGTCTCAGCGCTGGTTCTTTCTTTTTCAGAGTAATCTCCATAAAGAACTACCATCCGAAGATAAGAATCATCACTCAAATGCTGCAGTATCACAACAAGGTAGGAATGTGAGAGCCCGCTCCAGGTCTGAAGACACATCCACAGTCCAGCCTCTTCTTTCTGATTATACAGCCTCACACACACACACACACTCACGTGCCCACGTGTGTGCAACTCAAAGACCTGGGTAAAGAGGTGTGATGGTTAAAAATCTCCCTGGGATGTTTCTTTAGTTCAAACAACATGTTTGCATTTGGTCACTGGAAGGATGCTCCTTCTTGTACTGATTCATTCAGGAAGTGTCTATTGGAACCCGAGATTCAGAACTATTGATGTACTGTTAGAGCCCATCCATACTTAAATTACAACAACTTTCATTTTTATGTGCTGTAGTCATGTATTTATTCGGTAAATGTTTATTGAATACCTACTGTGTGATTATCACTCTCCCTGACACTGACAGGAATATCAGTGAAGGAAAAGCCCTATTTTGTGTCCTTGGGGTTTTAGCCATTAAGGTGTAGAATGCTCCAGGCAAGTGAACAATAATAAGATTTCTCTATTTGATACCAGGTGAACAGGTGAGTGCGTAATGTGTTCTGTAAGAGTATAATATGGAACACATTCCCAGAGTCAAGATGAGAATTTACAGAGTTGAATCAGGAAATTCGTAGGCTATCCAGAGATTAAACAGAAAGGAATTTTCCTTGTGTTATAGCTTACATTGGGGGATTGACTGGAAAGAAGACAAATGTCAGAGTCTATGCTGTTTCCCTCTGATTACTTTTCAGTAAACCAGAGTCCAGTCTCTCATTCAAAGGCAATGCTCCTTCTCTCGGCCAGTCAGTACACTCCAAGAAAACAGCTTTAGGGGAGGGAAGGTGGCACCCGGTACCAGTTATGTCCTTAATGAAGCCTAGTAACCAGAGACTGCCCAGTACCTGGAGCCAGGTGTCCTGTCTGCACAGAATAACTCCCTGCTGGGTTATGAGTGACAGCGTACCCCCTCTTATGGGCCATATTCCCTGCGAAATAGGCAGCCAGGTGACCCAGAGAAAACCCCGTTCTGCCAAATGCACCAGCACGATGCCGTTATTTCTTAATTGCTGGCAAGGGCTGGCCCATTTTGCTGTGTGGAGGCCCATCACAGGCTGTCACTGAGTGGAGCCTGCTGTCGATGACTGGCCCACCACCCGGAATGCCTGCCTGCTGCCAACCACTGCCCAGCCGTCAGCAGGTGGCTCCCTTGCAGAACATGTTATTCTCCAGCCAGTGGATTTGGTGGTGGGCACCCAAGGTCACATTCACCTGTTTGTCTCTGTAAAACCCAAGGACACTGAAGAGATAAAGTGAGGATATCAGTAACGTGCAGGCGTCAAGCTGGAGAAGTTTTTGACAGCAGCCCTCGTAGGTGGAGGTGAATTTTATTAGCAAGGTTGTGACTGGTGACAGCTCCTACAGCAAGGAGCTCTCCTTCTTTCATTTGTGATCTGAAATTTCATTTAGTGTGGGAGTGCTTTAAGCTGTTGTTTAGAATTTTGGCTGAATTTAGACTGAATAGGAAAATTAATGTTGTGTGTTTAAAAGGGGCTGTCAGTTCCTTTTTTTCTCTCTCCAATGAGTGCTGATGCAGCATCTTCAAGAAATTAAGGAGGATTTTAGAACTGCAGTTCTTTTCAAACTCAAAATAGCTCAACTGGCCTGGGATTCCAGACAGTCCCTGGTCAGTAATCACATGATCATAGCAACCTGAATGTCTTTGGCAAACCTCTGCCTTGTAATTATTCAGAAATGATGAGAAAGACATCAACCAATTCATGATTATTTGCTTAGAACACATTTGTTTAGAACCATCCCAAACTATTTGAGTTTTAGGGTTGGGCAGAATCACCGATCCTCAGATGATTGGTAAGGACACAAGGAATGGAGTGACTTTGACACAGGACATTTTCTTTTTTGCCCTTTTATTTATCTCTTCTGGAGAAACAACAAAACATCTACTCATCATTTTTTATCTTTCATTCCTTGTAGAATTGCAAGTAGACATTCTTCACCCTGCTTCACAGTTTTGCTGTTTCCTGAGATGCTTCCTACTCTTTCAATGTTTTCTTCCACTTCCCTTTCAACATTTTTTTTCTTTCTCTCTTGGCACCTTTTGCTGCACCCATCCTAGAATCCTAGATGCTTAGAGATCTCCATGCATTACAAGTTGCTTTTGGGAAACGATCTGGTATGTGCCTGTGAAGTTAGGTCACTATGAACATATTCCAAGAGACAGTTTATTTTATAATTGGACAACAAGCTTGAAATATGAAGCATTTCAGTCCCCTATGATCTAGTTATAGGAATGTTGTAGGGCCTGGAGGGATATAGGGAAGCTGCCTACTTCCTTTCCATGTAAAACTGGCCCTGAGTTTGTCATCATCATAATTGTAGACATTTGTGTCATATTTTATGGTTTTAAAAGAGAGCTGTGACATCCATTATCTTCTTTATTACTCATTGGACCATCTGTGCATTTTAGCATCCCAGGGTAACTTCAGAGCAGGGCGTCTAAGCTCTGACAGACAGCGCAACTCTGCTGGGCACAAATCACGGCCACCACTCTGTAGCCAGAGAGTGGGGAGACAGAACGCTGACTGCCACCAACTCTTTAAATGGAGCCACAGCCCATTGAACCAAACTGTGGTTCCCTAGAGTAGGCCTTATAGAAAGGCTGATGCTCTCCAAAGTGTATCTTCTAATATGACTAAACTCCTTGCAGAGAAACATTTTGATGTTGGCCATCTTTGAACACAGAAGAAAGACAATGCAGGGTATCTTCGGATTTGAGTGTAAATGCCTTGATGCTCTTCAAAGACAAATTGGTTTATAACTTCTTGGGAAAGTCACTCCTGATGATTTACCTATCAGTGGATTTTTTATTTTTCCAGAAGACTCTAGTGAAAGAGGCCTTTATCTTTGGAAGCCAAGTTCCATGAGCCCAGTGCAGACAGAGGCAAGTTCGAAGAACTTGCTTTCTCCCTGTCCACCCTGACACTTGGGCAGTCATATTAACGCGTTTTCTCTTTCATGGCCGCCATTGTTCCTCATGGTGTCTTCTGCAAATTGTATGTAGTGAGAGATGGAACTGGGACTGGAATTTATCTCTCCTGGTTTCTTAGGACAGCCTGTTTCCACGTTGCTTCTCCATGAGATGAGGGAGAGGTGGTGAAATAGCAGAAATGAAGGGAAGCCAGATCTGCCGGATCTACTCTTTATATTCTCCATGTTAGGGAGAGAGGATTTGCCTCCAGACTTCTGGCCACTTACACTGGCATTTTTCATCAGACTCAGATTACTTCAAATGGAAAACGACGAAGTTGCCAGAAACAAAGGATTTGCGTTCCTGGGTTGGTCTCCTCTCTTTGTTTCATGCACAGAGATTTCCCTCCCAGCATTCAGCAAGTCACCCTCACTCCTTCCCTGTGTTGGAGAAAATATAATGTCCAAAAAAGGAGGGCCAGAAGCCTGAGATATGGAACAAACTCAACTTTTCTTTTCTTTTGAGATGGAGTCTTACTCTATCCCCAGGCTGAAGTGCAGTGGCGTGACCTTGGCTCACTGCAACCTCTACCTCCCAGGTTCAAGTGATTCTCCTGCTTCAGCCTCCCAAGTAGCTGGGACTACAGGTGTGCATCACCACGCCCAGCTAATTTTTGTATTTTTAGTAGAGACGGGGTTTCACCATGTTGGCCAGGATGGTCTCAATCTTTTGACCTTGTGATCTGCCTGCCTCTGCCTCCCAAAGTGTTGGGATAACAGATGTGAGCCACCACACCCGGCTCTAAACTCAACTTTTCTTTGTAATCACATGCCCAAGTGTCAAGGTGGACAGTGAGAAAGAAAGCTCAAAATGTACCTACAGAACTTAAGCCAGACAGGGCCACATGGGACCCAAGGGTGTAATGCCACGGCCTCATATCCTAGATAGCACATGGGGATAGGACAGACTTTCTTTGAAAGATTTTGCTTGTTTGTTTGAAGGCTCCGTGAAGGTTCAGAGGTGTCTCTTTAGGGCTTGGACCAAAAAAAAATCTCCTTTCACACACAATGCTTGACTTGTTCATTACTTAAACTTAAATTTCTCCTCATTGTTCCCAGATTCTCAGATGATATTACTACAAATGAGTATTTCTCCAGTTAAACCGATGTGCTCTCTATACTGCCTGGGAAATAAAAGGGAAAGTGGCCATCTGAAGCCAGTGGAGAGTAGGGAGAGGAAGGGATGAAGGGAAGGGCTAGTTGTTGGAACTGAGCCTGCAATGTGGGGAAGGTCCTTTGATAGCTTGACAGCAATTACTACTTCTTGTGGCTTCTCCATGAGACTATTTTAACCATGCTCTCATCAGAGAGGTCACAGTCATCTCTCCCTGGGGTAACTACTTTTGGCTTAGGATGCACAACATTGTCATAGAAGTGGATTTTGCAGGAAGGAATTTCACAAAAGTGGTATTTTTGAAAGCAGAGTGTGGAGCCCTTGGATTTGCTCTTTGTTTTCACAGTGGAGTCTTCCATCCTTCTAGTTCAACTATTGTATGTTGTTCTGAAAGTGAAGGGAAGGCTCCCTTGGTGTTCCTTGTGTTTGCTGAGATGTGCAGAGAAGTAATAATATCAAAGCCATAAAGCCTTGGGATTAGCAGAGACTTGGATGAGCTCTCTGATTCCACCTCCTAGTATAGAGCAAATGTTCTTTCCATAGTAATTTGGAGAAATACTTACTGGGTCTTAGGGACACAGACCTTGCAATTGTTAAGGTAACCCTCTCCATTTGGTAGACAAATTACATCCTTAGGAAGTTCGTTTATAAAACAAGACAAAAATCCGCTTTTTTGGAATAGATGCCAGTCTTAATTCTGGCTTCTAGAACAAAGCAGGACAAACCTAATCTTGGACACAGCAGTACCTGAAGTATTCAGATGTAACCATCATGTCTCTCTGAGGACAAGAGCCTTCTTCAGGCCAAATATTACTGGCTCTCTTAACTGTTCCTCAAAAGATTTTTTCCAGATGCTATCTCTTCTTGTCTTTGTCACTTTTCTCTGCAAGTTATTCAGTTGATCATTTTCCCTCTTTAAATCTGACTGAAAACTGGATCAAGTACTCTGGAACTGGTCTGACCAGTTTACAACAGAATGAAATGTTCATTTCCCTTGATCTGGAGAGCATTTCTAACAAGTAAACACCGGCTTTCTCTGTAATATCACATGGCTGGCCTAAAATTTGAGGTTTTAGTTACCCACACACTTAAATTTAGGTTTGTGCGTTTTGTTTTATTTCTCTCCTGCCTGCTGCCAAGCTAGGTCTTCTCATTTTGAATTTATAAAGTTGATTTGTTTTAACCTAAATGCTGTACTTGACATGAAAGCCTTGTAAATCTTTTTACTTTGGTCTTTCGCCGATTTTTCCAACTCTGGAGAACCTTTTGAACTTTGATACTTTCATCCAATGTATTTTCTATGACTCTCTGCTTCATGCCACTTAAAAATAATTGGATGAGCATGCCTCTGGGTCCTTGCCTCAGGGCCTGAGAAGAGTTGAATAGGACCAGTCCATTTGCAAGAGATTGGAAATGTCAATATTGTGATTTACCTGATGTTTTAGGGCAGTGGTTCTCAAAGTGTGGCCCCTACATCAGCAGCGTTAGCATCACCTCCAACATGTTAGAAATGCCAGATTCTCCAGCCTTACCCCGGACTACTGGATCAGAAATGCCAGCAGTGGGGCTTGAGAGGTCAGCAATCTGTGTTTTCACAAAGCCTGCAGGTGATTCTGATGCCTGCTCCTAATGCCTGGGAGTCACTGATCTGGAGTATTGGAAAGGCAGGTAAAAAAGAAATGGAAAATATACAGGCATTTGGCAATCTTATGGTCCATTTGAGGACTCAACCTAACAATTTAGCTAGCCATCTTAGTAACCTGGGCTGATCGAGGGGAAATTCCCTCTGGGCTCTATTTGGCCAAATGACAAATCCAGGGGAAGACTTAAGCTTAGTAGGTACAGAGACAACAATCCAGAGAGACTGAAGTGTGATGAGCAGAAGAGTTGCATAAAACAGCAAACATCAGACCCCAGCAAGGGAAAAGAAGGGCGAGTCTGAATGGCCCTGCATGATTGGGCAATGCTTCGTATCCCAGAAGAAATTTTAAACAGCTGAACATTTAACAGAGCAAGATCTCATACCTGCTTTTGTTTCCCCAGGCCCATCTGCTAAACATCCCAAGCTGGAATTGGAAGGAGGGTGATGATGCAATCTGCCTCGCAGAGCTGAAGTTGGGCTTCATAGCCCAGAGCTGCCTGGCTCAAGGCCTCTCCACCATGCTTGCCAACCTCTTCTCCATGAGGTCATTCATAAAGGTAACGTCTCGTCTTATTAGAGCACATTAGCTCAGGATTCTATTTGTCGTGGGGTTGAGTAGAGAGCACAGCTTAAACTCAAAACAGATCGACGGACTCTAACCACTTGGGTTAAGGAGAAATTCCTTGTTACGGATTTGGGCATGAAGCCAGCTTTTTTCAAAATTATGTTTTTATTTTTATTTGGCACATCCATGGCCATTAAATGATTGTTCAAAGCACAATCCTCTCTTTTTCTTTTAGATAAACCACATGTTTATCTATCAACAAAGCCTCTGCTGTTAAAACAAAAATATGATTTATATACGTTCCATATGGCAACAGAGCGCCTAAAGAAAAGAATTATCATTTTGCTCTTTTATATCAAGTGGCTGGTGGACCTCTCACTGTGTGGATAAATGCAGACCATGTGTTGGTGCTGAAGCCCAAACCCCAACAACGTAATTCATTTATTTATTTCTGCACAATCAAGGAGGCCAGCAGGACTGACACACCGCAGTTGTTTGAATGGAGAGCCAAACAATGTACTGAGTCCTCGGCAGCAGCGCCCTTTGCCCCGAGAGACAGGCAGTCTGAATGTGTTCATGTCCTTGTCAGAGCTGGTTGGGCAGCCACTCTAAAATCCCCAGGTTGCCCATACCTGCTGCACCAGTGCAGGCAAAGAGAGAAAAAAACCAAATCTGTCCTCACAGGGTGGACCAGGTTAGGAGTGTGTTTCTTGGGCCTTGCATTGAGCATCCAGCCCCTACCAAGGAGGCTTCTGGAGCCTAGGATAACAGTCATTTCAGTTCTTATCCTTAGACTGTTCTTAGATTAGGCAGTCAAGGTGACAAACCAGTGTATAAAACAGGTCTAGCCTGGGCCTTTCTGATATGCCATGAGAGGCAGTTAGCTCTGGATCCAGGCTTACATCCTTCCTCTTGTTATAGAAGGAGCAGAATTAATAGCAGGCGAGGTGGGAAATTACATCCTTAGAAAGTTCATGAGTCAGCACAAGGTCCGTAAAGGAGGCCAGAAGCTCTGCCATCAAAGGTGTAAGACCTCCTGCCTTTTGCTGTGTGGCTGCCTAATCCACTGCCAAGTTTCTTGATGGTATTGAGGAAATGACCGTGGTTGCATTAAGAGGGGTGGACGGGAAGCATGAGGATACAGATGTGTTAGTGCTCACCATGGGTACCTATGAGTGATATTATTTAGAGCAAGAGTGTTTTTTTAGGTCCTTACCCACTGTACCTGCCAAATTATCATTATGTAGCCAACTGATAGTTAACATTGCTCTACATCAAAGAACAAATTACTTTGGAGCTCCTTCAGTCACTTTAGCAACACTCATAGCAAGGGATACCTTGATATAAAAAATCCTCCTGCGCTCATTACGCAGCCAAAGGTCTCAGCTCAACAGAACTCCAAGCTCACATCCAGCTTACAAATAAAGACGCTGCATTCCTTTAAGTGTCTTCTTTAATCCAGGCTGCTCTTGTCCTGCATGGGCAGAACTGAATGGAGGTGGCAAGGAGGTCTGTGTAGCTGTGTTTAGAGACAAGACCCTGAAGCCAGATGTAGCCATGTGTCTCCCAGGGCTCTTATGTTCAACGTGAGAAGCCCAGACTCAGGATAAAGGACTGTCACCAAGAGAACTTCTCTGGCTCTTTCAATCAAGCTTTGGTGGTTTTCTTCCAGGGAATGGCCCATGGGACCAAGCACATGGTGTGTGGAGCTGTGCTCTGCTTCCTTGTGTTAATGTAACATAGGCCTTGGCAGGGCCCCACCGCATATGGGGCCCCCTGACATGCGTATGTTTTGATTTTGTGGTGCCTGCATGGTAACTAGAGCTGTCTGTCAAGGAAATTAATAAAATGGATGTGATGCTGATTCTTCAGTGCTATTAGCAGCAGGGAAAACCTCTGCCCAACTTTCCTCGGGACCCTGATGGGCCTCACCTCTAAAGCCAAGGACGTCCCCTCCAGCTCAGCTAATCCCATTGCCAAGTTCCTGTTTAGGAAGAGCCTGTGGGAAAGGCTGGGCCTGGCCCTGGTGTAACTAAAAACACATTTTCCTCCGGGGGTTATGTTACCACATTATTTCTGTGTAGGGCCAACTCCCGCCTGTTTGGAAGTAGCTCTCTGAATATGGCCTTTTGACACTGAGATGGTCTTTGTGTTGGAATTCGCTGAGGTGCATGACCTGGAAATCACGAGGCTTCCCTTCGTATATTTTTCTCACTGAAAATAAAGATGCCTTATTCATGTGCTCCCCGCTCTGTATTGCTATCTTTGTTTACCTACCTCCAAATCCCAGATCTTTGTCTCTTTTAGATCATGTTGCTCTCCTTGACATGTTTTATGCATTCTCTCCCATTCCAGGGATCACAAAGCCCTCATATATTCTTGTTGGGCATGGGGCAGGTGGAAAAGTAAATCTACAAATAGATTATCGTTTATAGGATTGCTTCCTTCTCCAGTGACCTCTGTATCCTATGACGGAGAATTCATCAGGCCTATTAGGGGGACAAGCAGGCCTATTAGGATGGATGGAAAAGGGATGAGGCTTTGGCAGCACTTGATCCTTTGGGAACCTTTAGCATTTCTGGAAGCCAAAGGTAAAGTGTGAACTCAACCTCTCCCTTGCCCTGGGCCGGTCATGTCTGTCTCTTGGTGCTGCAGAACCCCTGCTAAAATGAGAGAAACAAGACTGTAACAGTGAACGTGTAGCACAGGCAGAATCACAGTGACTATCCACTGGGCTGTTTAATTTAATTTTAATTTTTTATAGAGACCGTTCTCTGTATGTTGCCTAGGTTTGTCTCAAACTCCGGGATTCAGGTGATCCTCCTGCCTCAGCCTCCCAAATTGCTGGGATTATATAGGTGTGAGCCACTTACACTGGGCTTCTTATCATGTATGAGACCAAATGCCAAGAGTGAAAGTGAGGTGACATGTTTAATAAAAGAAACAGGGACTACTGGCCAGGCGTGGTGGCTCACACCTGTAACACCAGCACTTTGGGAGGCGGAGGCAGGTAAATCACCTGAGATCAGGAGTTCGAGATCAGCCTGGCCAATACGGTGAAACTTCTTCTCTACTAAAAACACAAAAATTAGCTGGGCATGGTGGTGCATGCCTATAGTTCCAGCTACTCAGGAGGCTGAAGCAGGGGAATCGCTTGAATCCAGGAGGCAGAAGTTGCAGTGGGCCGAGATTGTGCCACTGCACTCCAGCCTGGGCAACAGAGCAAGACTTCATCTCAAAAAAAAAAAAAAAAGAGAGAAAGAGGGAGGGAATACTGGTATTACAGGAATCACAAAAGAAGGCCCAGCCTGGAAATACCAAGAAATATGGGGCAATCCTTCTTTCTCTCCCCACCAATGCCACTCTCAAAGATACCAATCCTAGGACTCCAAGTCATTACCCCTGAAAACCTTCCTCCTGTGTGGATATATCTCCAAATTGATCTAAACTTTTTAGGAATCTTTTTATATTTTTAGCCCATATCTTTGGGAGTAATGAATTTCTGAAGTTTGCTAACTACTGTTAAAGATTTTTTTTTTCTGGCTATTTGTCCCTCATTTACTCCACCTAAACTTCAAGGCAGGCCCTCTGCAACTTTTGCTGTGCTAGGATTTAACAAATCTACGGTAATTTTACATCTAATATTTTTAGGAATGAGACTCAAGTTGGGAATCCAGGGGTCCTCCAGCTCAGCAGCTGTTGTTAGGGACGGGTTAAGCATTTTGTGCAATGGGGTCTTGTTTGAACCCTTGAGTTCCTTTAAGGAGTTCATATGAATACTCTGGTGCCTGTGACTTATCTGCATCAACATTATCAGCCAGCCCTGGAGCATCCTGTTCATTTGCCACTGGCTAGTCTCCTACCCTGGCCTGTCAGGTTCCAGGAAGAATCTCCCTGATATCATCTGTGAAGACCCAGGCAATGAACTTACTTAGTGTATCTGCCATTGCCTCAGCCCTGAATAAGTGGCCACACTTACTCTTTACTTGGCTTCCTCACTTGGATATAATTTAAGATCTCCATTGATTTTTTTATTTGTTTGTTTTTGTTTTTGAGTCTCGCTAGGCATACTTAGCTTTCTCTTCGGCGTATGAGGTTTCAAGTTGGGGCTTGGCTTGCCATCTTTATGAATTGTGCTATTATTCTTACTAGGATTAGCTGTCTTTGCACATGACGAATTGTATGTGCGTGTGTGTGTGTTTAGAGGGTGATTAACTCTTAAAATTGTTTTTCAATCTACGTCGAGACTTCCAATTTAGCACATTTAAATAGTTCTCAGAATTGCCAACGATTTTAACTCTGTTAATCTATCATTTTATACATACACACACACACACACACACACACACACACACACACACACACAACCTGGAACATGGTATGCTCTCCATGATTATTTCTTTGTTGAATAAATCAGTTTTGAGAATGAAGAAAATATGTTATGCATTTCTTGTGTTTTTTTCCCTATGCCACAAGACTTGGAATTTGCGGGTGAAATATTACTTAATATCGATAACAGCACACCCTCCTCTGTCAAGTTTTCAGTTTCAGAATGAGAAAGCACTAGAGGAATCAGAAGCATGCTATTCACATTGTATCTTGGCTGAAGTAGATATGGCTGGACACACAAAGTTTCTGTTCATTGTCCCTGTGACTGTATGGAGATAAACTTTCAGCAAACATATTCCCATAGTCCTAGCGCTAAGCATAGCCAAGGGAATCACTTAAATATTTTTAGCCTGAGTTATATTTATGTGTATATGTGTGCTTGTACATATGTATGTATAGAATTAGTCTGGCTTAGGAGCTAAAAATGTAAATCAAGAACTTTTAATAATAGCTAAAAAATACTGATTCGTATGTGCTAATTCCTGTATTAAGTGCGTTAGCTGCAGTATCACATTTAATTCTCACAATGACCCTACCCAAACTTCTCACTACTATTATTCTAATTTTACAATGGCAGACACTGTGGGTTAAGAGAAGTTCAGC